CCCCCCCCCAATACTGTGCCTCACAGCATCCCACAGCATATTCCCACCGTGTATTGGAAACATCTCTCGATGATGACATCATCATTTATGATACTGTCATCAGGAGATGTTCCCAATATAAGGTGGGGATGTGCTGTGAGACGACGTGGGGGGTTTGCTTGTGCTCATCAATCCTTAGTTCAAATTACCATGTACCTAGTGGACAAGTTAGGCGATAATTCCTCAAGTTATTATTAAAATAAATAAATAAATACATAAAAGTAATAGAAAACAAATTAGAAAACTCATAAATAAACTAAGAATATATGAAGAATAAAGTATAAAAAAGAAATGTTGAAACTAAAACATGCGGAATGTAGACAAACCACAAATGGGCATTTTGATAAATTCATCCTCACCATAATGCCCGCTAATGAATTTGAACTTGAGTATCGGAGTTTGAAAGTAGAGAATAGCTGTATGCAAGGGTGTCAATGGACCGGTTTTGGGTTGAATCCCTTCCAAATCAAATTCAATTTGGATGGATTGGATGGTCTAATAAGATATATTGAATTAGACCATTTCAGACTTATTAGTCCAAAATATTTATTGAATTGGATTGGACCTGGTCCATCCATACATAACGAAATTATATTGGATTGAATTGGATTGAATCAATATCCAATCCATTTATAGAAGATAAGAATACAGGTGTTAATAGACCAAGTATGAGTTGGAACCAATCTAAATTAAAAACCAAGTTGAATAGAGAAATGAGAGGAGATGATCCACCAATCCAACCTACTTGGTTTGCATTTGTACTGAACTAACGTTTCAATCAAGCGAAGGGATAAAAAATTGGGTGGAGCGGTGGAAGCTAGAAAAAAGATCAATGACTTGGTAGTCACATATTGTTGCATAGAGTATTTTTGGTATTCAGTGTTATGCATCGCTAATACACCAACGAGCCAGCCTTCAGTTGGTGTAACATTATGTAGATGTGGTTTATTTGATGGGCTAAAAGCTTAGAAACAAGAAAATCTTTGAGCAAGCAAGAGTTTAGCTCGTTATTAATCCTCATCAGAGTTGAGACATATGATATATTAGCACTCTTATTGAAGTTTTAATCGTCTCCTCCCAAAAGGCTTCTCACATCAACCTCACATCACATCCCATCCATGCAATGGGAACATCTCCCCATGGATGCATGATAACATACAAGTATGGAAGATATTCCTAATTCACAGTTACAATGAGTGCGAGGAAGGAACGCTTATTGACTGAGAGGAGATGAAGGTACTAATGAAGAGGAGAGCTGGAGTAGTTATTGGGGATCAACATGGGTGCCATCTAGGGGTGCTCACGGTTTGGTTAACCAAACCGTGGGGCATTTTTTTGAACCAAACCGGAAGTACTGGTTTTTGGAAAATTGGTAACCGGAACCAAACCAAAATCAGTCGGTTAACCAGTTGACCGATTTGGTTAACCGTCAGTTCGGTTCGTCGGTTTTTTGGTATTTTAGTTTTTACAATATATATTAGAAAAATATATATAAATATATAATAAAAAATTATAAATATATATATAAAATATTATATTTTAAATAATAAAATAATAAATCATATATTATAAATATATATATTTGATGATGCACAATCTGGCCGGTCTTAGCTGTCGATGATCTTGCCTCTGAACTGAGTAACAGGGACCTGAAACGGAAGGAGAAGAGAAGCTCCGGGGAGAACCCGGCGTAAGGGCTCTGAAGCTCAAGTTAGAATCCTTCAAAGGCAAGAATAACCAGATAGCGCGAAAGTTAGCATACCTCGTCCCTGGGGGGGTAGAAGCCTTTTATAA